CCATCGCCTTTGGTCTTTTGAGTTATCAGTACAATTAGGCAAACTCCAATGCAGTTACAATAATGAACAAATGATAACAGAAATCACAGAATAAAGTTCTTGGATAATGTTGTTGGTAGATGAAATACAAAATAGCAACCAAATGAGCCATGACATATCAAACTACATAAATAAAACATTTTCTGTCGTGAATTAAACAGAAAAGGATGTTAAAATATTTTTTTACACTTCAGTAACATTATTTCAGGAAGACTTGACTGCCTCCCAAAATGCCTTTAAGACATGTAAGTGCTTTCATGAAAATAAATTTGGTCTCACAACGACTCACCCATAAGGAGAAAACGCCTGTATATAGACACAGGCCGTTTGTAGAAGTGTCTGTGTACTATCAAAGGGAGTGAATAGGGGACATGGATTACCTCTGGTCTCAGGTGTGACAGCTGCAGCCATGTGGACATCAGGGGAAAGGTCATTCTGCAACGACAAACCACAGAGTTCTTTTAAGTTTGAGGGAAGAGAAAGAGCAGGACGTGTGTGTGTGTGTGTGTGTGTGTGTGTGTGTGTGTGTACGAGCAAGAGAAAGTTGTCACAAAATATCAAAAACCTCAAACCACAGAAATAATTCAGTACCTGGAGATTCACTTCGCTTTGAGGATTAGCGCTGTCGAACACATTCAATTGTAGTTATTAGCCTTTGATACATCACAGCCAAGAGATTTGATTTCATCTTTCCCATCCTTTGGAGATGGAGGAAAAGTCACTAGAAGGCCTTTTTTACTTTTAATTCAGAGGATCTGGGATTTAGTTCTGCAAACACGTTCAGTTTTAAAGAGGTTAGTCCCTACTACTTATTTATGTGAAACTTAAACACAAAGTGAAATAGACTTAAAGGATGAGCATGGAGAAGTAATGGAATGGGGATATTAAGTTTTACCTCCACTGCCTTACATGAAATGAAGTTAAAATGAGACTTTGTGGAAAATGAAAATTGCCCCCAGCTGCTCACATCCTTGTCAAAATTACTTTAGTGTTCTGCTTTTTATCAGTCGCTCATTAAATACCCTAAGATGGGATCATACAATACATTGCTGATCAGTAATCAGAGGTGAAACTAAGTCTGGTATTCTGTTAGAAGTTTCAGTGCTGCTGTCGTACCAAAAGTGATTGGCTGTGTCCATATATAGAGCGTTCTATGAATAAAAGCTTTAAGACACTACTCTGCGCTTTTTTTCAGAACCGGTAATGACGCCATTCTCGCAGAATTGTGAACAACAACAATAATGTTGGTCGACGTAATATCTGACAGTAATTTTAAAATGTTTATTTTACACTTAGTATTAAAGGTTCAGTGTGAAGAATGTAGTGGCATCTAGTGGCAAAGGTGCATGCTGCAGCTGAATACCCCTCACCTTCCCCTTCCAAACATGAAAGACAACCTGTGGTAGCTTCAGTTGTCATTCAAACTCAAAAGGTGTTTTACAATAATTTGTAAACTTTAGAAGAAACACACTAAGGAAGACATCACTAGGATTACCTTATATTCAATTTCTGCCATTAGATAATTTTCACCTAAATCCTACACATTGAACCTTTAACACTTTTAGGTAAAAAGTTGAGGAACATTCACTATACAGTGATAAGTGAGTGATTTCGGACACAGCCATTGTCCATTAAAAAAGGGATTTTGAAACATGAACTCCATAGAATATCTGCACAACTGGGTCCAGGGACTTTCTCAGGAGTTTGCCTTTTACACATGAACTCCACAGTGGGAGATTCTATGGTCAGACACATATGCAACAAGACAATTTCTTTTTATATTTATATATACCATCCATACATCATGTTGATTACGGTCTAGCTCCTGAATGTAAAATGGGATACAGAGAGACATGGGTTATCACAGAAGCTACTGGCTCATATTAACTTGTGCTGCAGTTCACTGGCTCGTATCAAGGGCTCTGGATGGCTTTGTGTTTGAGTGACAGACCAGACCACATCCGAATATTCAGGTCAGAAAACAGTTTGTCAGTGTAACTCTAAAAAAAAAAGCATGGCTGGTATGAGTGCGATTTGTTAATAGTGGTTTTAGAGCTAGTTTTTCTGTTGTTTCTAATGATTCTAAGAATCTAATAGACTGAGGAGAAAATTATCCCAGGTCCTATGGACACAGCATGCAAAAATGTTCTAGATTGTGTTTATCTATACGACTTTTTGGGGGAAATACAAACAATTGTTTGACATGTTTTGTCTTTCTTATCTGGGATCGTGGGCAACCCACTCTGTGTAAAGATTCATTTAAATTTTATTGCATTTATTATTTTTGTTCATGTTAAACACACAGTATTTCCAGACTGCAATACTGTTTTCTAAGATTGTGCAGAAGTTTGATTTGTCATGAATCAAAAACAACACATTATGTAGTTACATTTAAAAGGCCCAGTTAGCATTTTGTTTAGGCTACACTAGTGAACCCAAGACTCTGGGTTAGGCAGACAACATTGAGCTGGACCAGGGAGGTCCAGTGACAAGCAGAGCGACGGAGAACAAGCTAAGAGGGGTAGATGGCTGGAGCGGATGTGAATGAGCAGGGTGCGTGGGCTGAAAGGTAGAGGAGGGAAGAGTGGTGGAGCTGGCATGTGGTAGGAGACATAAGCCGGAGGTCAAGCTATATGTGGTGAGTCTGAACAGGGTTTTAATGGCAGGCATAATCACTGATTCATTAATCAC